ACGTTCATTTTTTCTNTAAATTTGGTTTTTACTACAAAAAAAAGAACAATAAACAATCTCTATAAAGTTATGACCGATAACATTAAAAGTAGCAATAACTACATATGAAATAAAACAATAGAATGCATCTGTCAGTGTCAACGAAAGACGCTCTATTGAAATATCATCGTTGCGATGTTTGCTCGAGTCAGTAGCAACAACAACGTCATGATCAAAATCTTTCAACACAAACGCTACATCACCAAACGAAACGGTAATAACGCCCACAGTAAGAGAGTGTAACGTTTAACACTGTAACAACAAGCACAGTTTTGTTTTTGTGAAATGTGTATTTAACACAACAACACAGTCATCTCTATAACAACAACAAAAACTATAACAACTTGGACGCTGGTTACGGCAGATTAATGTTAACACTCACAACAACAATAACGACGGCACAGCAATGTTAATGTCCTCCATTACGCAACAAACGACAGGGTCCGACGACAGCGTCCGACGACGACAGCAGCAGCAGCAGTAGCAGCAGACAGGACATCACATTTTGACCATAACACGACCTGCAGTCATATAATTCCGAAAATCTGCCTATAAAAATTTACGTTCACAAACCAAAACATTTTTCCGAGACTCTTGTATTAGTTTGCCTTTCTTTGAAATACGCGTACCGTGTACAAATGTGTTAATACAATACCCGATACAATACCCTGCATATACACCGTTTTTATGTCGCTCTCTTTCTCTCTCCTCTCTCTCTCTCTTTCTATTTATATATATATATATATATATATATATATATATATATATATGCTGGAAGATAATAATTGATTCAATATTTGATCATTTACCGATTTTTTAGCTTTTGAAAGCTCTCTCTTTCTTTCTCTCTCTCTCTATATATATATGTATATATATATATATATGTATATATATAATATATGTACATATATAGAGAGAGAAAGAATAAATAAGTATACATATACACGCACATCAGTGTGTTGGTGTTTTTGTGCGCGTACGTGTGTGTATCAGTTTAGAAACATTTTGTATGTGTTTTATACATAACACAACATGAACGCGAAGTTTATTCTATTGTTGACGAGCGAGCACTCCAACAACTTTGTAATAACATTCCAAGCAACCAGCAAGCAAGTAAGCAACAACGCCTGTCCTTTCCTTTCCTCATCTTAATCCACTTCCTATCCATCAAGATATGAAGGTTGCCCTCACACACATCAACACATAAAAACATGTACTACCCCCTACCTACACACACGTACACAGACAATCACATACCCGTATACACACATTTGAAACATGCACACTTACACACACTCATACACGCACAGCAAATAAACTTTTCTGTACAGCACATGATAAAATTGTATACGTATCTATGTAAAATGGAAGAAATGAAAAAAATGAATGTATGTGTTTAGTTTGCGCGTGCTCAGAGCTCTCTGAACGTTTACTCAAAAGTTTGTCCGCACGTACTTATTTACGTGCACATCTTCAAGTGCGTATGAATGCTTTCGATAGTAAAGTTTGCGCGTGAATCGCTTTACACTTAGAATAAACTGGATTTTTTATTTTTTGCCAGAATTCAATCAAATTATTATTATTATTTTATTATTATTATTATTAGAGAACTTGTAGAGCGCCTTTTATAGTCACCCAAAGGCGCTCCATGATTTGTGCGAATCAATCCAAGAAGATACGAGTTTTCAATTCCTTGCGAAACTGTTGAAGAGTCAATCCCGGCCGACGCAGGTGATGGGGCAAATTATTCCAGATCGAAGGACCAGCAACTGCAAAACTTCTATCAGCAACAGCTAACTTTGTTTTCGGCACCATCAATAAATCTTGATCATCTAAACACAACTTGATTGACGGATGAGATCTAACTCTACGTATTATCATTTCAGACAGGTAACTTGGACTGAGACCATTCAGGCATTTGAACACCATGATGGAAATTTTGTATAAGATTCTTTTTCTAACATTAAGCCAATGAAGATCCAACAACGTTTGACTAATGTGATCAAACTTCAAACGGCCACTGACAATCCTGGCCGCTCTGTTCTGAATTGACTGTAGAGAAGACAATGTACTGTTTGATACTCCATAGAAAACACTGTTACAGTAGTCCAACTTTGAATGAACAAATGCATGAACCAAACATTTCAATGTGTCATTATCTAATGAGTTTTTAACTTGATTAAGCCTTCTAAGCTGAAATGAGCACTCCTTACTAAGCTTTTTGGCATGAAAATTCATTGACATATTTTGATCCAATACGATTCCCAAGTCACCAACGGAGGAACAAAAATTAACATCCGACCCAGATATGTTGATGGACTCAACATCAATTTTCTCCAGCTGTTGCCAGGTACCAATCAAAAGTAGTTGAGTTTTACCTTCATTCATCTTCAATCTGTTATCTATCATCCACCCATTGAGTTTTTCGATGCAACATACAAATCTATCAACTTCATCTTCAAACGTTGTATTACATGCAATCGGAACAATTATTTGCACATCATCAGCAAACGCATGATACTTGAAATTAAATTCCTCAATAATTGGGAACATATCAGCTGTATAAAGTAAAAACAACAAAGGCCCAAGGACTGAGCCCTGAGGAACTCCAGACGTGACTATCTCAACATCTGACAACCCGTTGTTAAAGAAAACCTGCTGAGTCCTTCCAATCAGGTATGATTCAAACCATGAGGCTACTACATGAGAGACACTAAAAAGTATTTCAATTTATCAATCAACAAGGTGTGATCAACGCAATCAAAGGCAGCACTCATGTCCAATAAAGCCAACAATGAAACTTTGTGTTGATCCATAGCTGCAAATAATGTAGACGTAACATCAATTAAAACCGTCTCAGTTGAATGGTTCTGCCTATAGCCCGATTGGTGAACAGGCATCAAATTATGTCTATTCAGATGACTTAAGAATTGCCCCAAAATAATACGTTCAAGAACCTTAGACAAAAACAACAGATTGGATATTGGACGGAAATTAGAAATATCACTTTTATCAAGGGATGACTTTTTTAATATAGGAGTTACAACAGCGTGTTTCAGAGGATTAGGAAAACAACCAGTTCTTAAGCACAAGTTAACAAAAAATGTCAAGAATGGAATAAACAAGTCGATATATGATTTAAAAACTTGAGTCGGAATAAAATCATTTGAAAAGGATTTTGTTGGAGAACCTAAAACAATTTTTTTAATTTCGTCACCCGAGCACAAAGAAAACGCAGAGAACAACTCATCAGAGAACAACTCACCCGAAACCTACAATGAGAAAAGACTGGTGCAATCGAGGAAGCTGTTAAGTCCATCACCCTCTTAATCTTATCCTTGAAAAAAGAAGCAAAATCAGATGGCGTAAAATTAATTGATTCACTCAAACTATGGCTATCAGAGAATTTACCAAACAATTTACTCACCATGTTCCACAATAATTTAGGCCTGGACTTATTCATCTGTATCAAATTTTTCCAATACAAATTCCTTTTGTTCGAGAAAAGAAAACTTTTGTTCATTAGTGCATTTCTCCAAGCAATTTTATTAGCCTCACTCGGGATATGACGATAAACACGTTCAAGTTTACGACATAATCTTTTGCATATTCTGCACTGATCATCAAACCAAGGAGAATTATGGGAGCTATTGGTTTTAACATAATGCAACGAGGCAACAACATCAATTATTGACTGCATACTAGACATGAATTTTGAATAAACAATCTCTGGGTCACCATCAGTAAAAGGACCACCAACAAAAGACTGGGAAACAAGACGGGCAAATAATTCACTATCAATCCTATTCCATGATCGCACCAATCGTTTAACAATCCTCGTCCGACGATGAACAAACGGAAAATCAACTCTGATAAAACTGTGGTCAGAATGGACATTACTAGGAAAGACTGTGCAATCACAAGAAGGAAAATCAACAGACGAAACAACAAGATCAAGTGTACAAGATCAAATAACTTGGTAGTTTGGATATTTTTAATTGACAGTTGTTCAAAAATATTGTACACATGAATATTCAAAATTTTTTTTTATTTGTTTATATGTTTTGTTAATTTATTTTTTATAACAGTTTCACGATTTTTTATACGCCGACAAACGCGCTAAAGTTTTG